TATAAACTAGGTTAAAAAAATTGTACAACATTTTTTTTTCTTCCAGATCTGTCAAACAATTATATCATAATTCTTGAATGAATTTATTTTATTTTTCTTGAATTATTAAGACTGCATGTTGTTTTAAAGTCAGTGTCAAGTAAAAATATCCATAATGCACATTGATATGTGCTTAATTTTAAGATTCATGCATTTTCTTTCTAAATATATTAGGGTCTTAAAAATACAAGGTCTACAGTAGTGATATTTTTAGATGTACATAACTTAAAGTGACATAATAATGCCCATCCTTTCAATTTCATAATTTAATTTGCATGAACAATAAATAGGAAATTTCTTTATTAAATATTCATCTTATTTGCCTGTTACATTCAATTTATAAAAAGAGTGGGGCAGACTTTTAATATTTTAGGCAGATTTGAAATCTATCCTTTTTCAATATCAACTGTTGGTCAATCACTGGTATAACAGTCAATCTGAAATATATTGTTAATTCAGCTCAGTTTAATGACTGTATATAGAGGATATTCAAGTTTTTTCTATAAATACATGATTTATTTTCATCGAGTGGTATGAAAATAAATATTTCATGAGTGGCGGTAGCCACGAGTGAAATATGGTAATTTTCATGACACAAGATGAAAATAAATCATGTATTTATAGAAAAAACTTGAATTTTCTGTTTATTATATACATTTTTCTCTTTCTGGACATTAAAATTTGAAAGAATTTCCCTTGAATTTTGCGTACTGGCAGAATTTTAAAGAAAGTAGTCCGGCAAGACACCAGTGAAAATACGGAAAATATGTTTCACTGCAGTGAAAAATAAATTTTTACAGTGAAAATACGGAAAATGAAAATACGCATTTTATTTCATCAATATTTCTCAATATTTCATTTAAAAGTATATAATAAATATAAATATATGAGCATAAGTCACTTTAATAACTACCATAAAACATTGTTTAATTTGTCAGAGTTCTAGTCAGAGGATTAAAGCCTAGAATTACTTCCCATAGTTGGCAGCAGTTTTTTTGTCTCCGTTATAAGACTGAGGTTGGTTAGTAGAGTGATAGTTGCATGTCTGGAAATTCCATTGATCTCCCCCGAGCTGTTTGCTGTTTTCTGTGAGAAGTATCGTATGATGTTGGTACAAGTCCAAAACACTGTTTGAAATGATGCTAAATTATTGTTGCTAAATACATCAGTATACCAACAAAATATATCACAGTATAAGAACACGGTAATAATTGTGTTATATGTTTATTTATAGATTTGTTTATAGATTACATAATCTCTGAAAATAAAATATTATAAGGAAAAGAAAAAAATGCTTAAAAATTTTGGAATGTTTGGAAAACAAAATTTAATATCAGGGTAATATCATGGTACAAACTTAATGATCTTAAAAGTAAAATAAGAATTATGATATCTTCATTTACATGTTCATAGAGTTTTATATACATGTATACATTTCTGAAGACATGGAAATTAAGACATTAAAAAAATTCTGTTTCTCTTGTTTTTCAATCTCAGTATGTATCAGAATAGTGGGGAAAAAAAGGTAATTTTAATGTTTGACTACTGGAAAATTTTTACTTGGAAATGCAATTTTTTTGTAAAAGAGATTTTTTTTGACATATAGCCTGGCTAAAAAAAATATTTAAAGATTATATGTGGAAAATATCAGATCTTTGTTCACTCTGTTTATCAAGAATAATTATCTTAATTGTGAAAAATTAACCAAAATTGAAAAGCATTTAAATGCTATTTACCTCAATTTGAGCCTTATTATTAGCAAAAACACAAAAATCAATTAAATTCTTAATACCGGGTATATTTTATTATTATCTTTTGCCTATAATTCAGTCTTAGGTGCTGCAATTGACTGAATTACAAGAAATTCAAATAACATATCTTTAGGCTTTTGGACACAATGGATTGATACTGTTTGAGAATGTCAAAATTGCAAGTGTTTAAAATTGATTGCAATTCTATAAAATCATTTCCTCAAGGAAATCAGCAAATTATTATAGTATAATCTGTGCATGTTGTTAAATTAATATGCCGGTATATACATGTAATGTTATGAAACATGAAATTGAGATAATAAATGTTGAAAGCTTTCTTTTAAACACTGCAGGGTTTTTGATAAGGAACAAAACACACATTGTTGTAAATATGTTTTTACATTGTAATAGTAGTGGTTTCAAAATTTTCTTTGCAATTTGTTCTCTATTTTTTTATCTAAACCGTTTCATGAGAAGAATAATAATTTCTTTGTGCTGCTGTTGGCTTTATTATCATGTGTATTAGAGAGAATTATCTTAAAATTGTTGCAGTCGTAAAAAAATGCATGACACTGAAAGTCATTTATGTTTTTACAGTTATATTGTATTTATAATGAAAATGTTTGAAAGTCTGTGAAAAGATTTGAGCCGCGTCACAACAAAACCAGCATAATGGGTTTGCAACCAGTATGGATCAGGACCAGCCTGCGCATCTGTGCAGTCTGATCAGGATCCATGCTGTTTGCTATCAGTTTCTCTAGTTGTTATATTGTTTGTAAGCGAAGAGCATGGATCCTGATAAGACTGCGCGGATGCACAGGCTGGTCTGGATCCATGCTGGTCGCAAACACATTACGTTGGATTTGTCGTGACACGGCTCATTTAATAGATGGCTTTAATAATCTGTTTTAAACAGTACTGTCATTCAATCTGTTTTAATTTTTGCATCAAGAACAATTTTGCTTAATACCTTCTTCTACCATTACAATAATAATTCTTATAACAATGAATAAAATGCTGTTGCTTCACTGAAATTAATATAACCTTTTCAAGGGACACATGAACATACATGTAGTTGGTTAAGGCATCTGTACAAATTGAAAATAAAAGCAACAAAGTAAAGAAGGTTCAGGTAAGTGGCCAATGTGAAAGTGTTTGGAAACTATAACTAAACACCAGAAATAAACAGGTTGTGAGAAAATTAAAAGCATTTCTGGGGCATAATGGCCAAATCAAAAAAAGAAAAAAATATCATTCACATAAAATAGTTTCTTGTAGAAATGTTTTATCTAGGATGTTAAGAGAGTGTTCTTATACTTACTTAACATTGTTGTACTTGATTTATTTGTAAATAAAAAATCTTCTTTTTAGTCCCCTACCGGTTTACCGGAGGGGACTTTAGGTTTACCCTCCGTCCGTCTGTCCGTCCGTCAGTCCGTCTGTCCGTCCGTCAGTCCGTCCGTCAGTCCGTCCGTCCACAAAACTGGATCCCGCGATAATGCAAAAAGTACTGAAAATATTTTAATGAAACTTGATATATGGATAGATAGCAGTATGGAGATTATGCACGTCTTTTTCTTTTCTTCCTATGTTGAAAATTCTGGTTGCTATGGCAACAAATAGACTGAAAATATGGCAAATTTTACACATAACCTGGATCCCGCGATAACGCAAAAAGTACTGAAAATATTTTTATGAAACTTGATATATGGATAGATGGCAGTATGGAAATTATGCACGTCTTTTTCTTTTCTTCCTATGTTGAAAATTCTGGTTGCTATGGCAACAAATAGACTGAAAATATGGCAAATTTTACACATAACCTGGATCCCGCGATAACGCAAAAGTACTGAAAATATTTTTATGAAACTTGATATATGGATAGATGGCAGTATGGAGATTATGCACGTCTTTTTCTTTTCTTCCTATGTTGAAAATTCTGGTTGCTATGGCAACAAATAGACTGAAATTATGGCAAATTTTACACATAACCTGGATCCAGTGATAACATGAAAAGTACTGAAAATATGTTTATGAAACTTGACATATGGGTAGATGGCAGTATGGAAATTATGCACATCCTTTTTTTATCTTCCTATGTTGAAAATTCTGGTTGCTATGGCAACAAATAGACTGAATTTCGAGATTTCTGATTCTTGTTTTTAAGTTTTTTCACTATAAGTTCTTTATTTCTTAAGGTATTTTCTTCAAACTTTAAATATAAGTTGCTTGTCATCAACCACATCATATGTGACAAGCTTTACAACTCTAGCACAAAATTTATCAGAATTACCTCCCTTGAACTTAAAATTTTCATGAAAAAAACATTGTTTTTTTTCATAACTTCTTTTTCTGAATAGTATCTACTTCAAACTTCATATAAATGTTTCTTATTGTCACTCAACATTTGTGAGTGTTCAATACTCTAGCAAGACTATTTCCAGAATTATGCCCCTTTTGAACTTAGATTTTTTTTTGAGAAATTGGTAATTTTTACTCCAACTTCTTCAATCATGATAGGATTTTAAAAATGTTATATTTTGATAACATGGAATGTTTAAAAAATAACTTTAGAGTGTCCTTCAGTCTGTCTGTCTCACAGTACATAAAAACTGTTTCCTGTGATCACTTTTAAAGTACTTTTTCAACAAATTTACTTAAAATAGGAACCTAAGTGAATGGCCAATGGCCCTTCAGAATGTTGCTTGGGCTCTTACCGGTAGGGGACTTATGGATTGCTTGCAATACTATGTTAATTGCTTGTTTTTTCTGAAACCACTGCTTGGTAATATACAAAAAAAATATGTTTTAAGAATGAGAAGGGCAATATGAATTTTGTTTAGGTATAACCACTACCAGAAGCCGTCTTATCTGATAAATTGTATATGAAATAACAGGTCTTATTGTTCTCAAGGTAAAATTGATGATATTTCATGATGACTGCCACATAAATAAAGGAGTTGAACTACTTAATCTTTCTGGAATTTCTTTTCTGAAGAGCCACCCACCTTCTCTGGTTTCCTAATTGAAGAGCAACTATTTTTTTTGAAAAATGAAAATGGAGTGAATAGTTTTTATTTATGTTCATACAAAAGTAATCAGTGAAATTTGTATGATGTAATTAAATATCTGGTCTATAAAGGATAAAAAACAAAACAACATACAATTGGCAGGGATTCAGAGACTATGAAATTTGGGCGGTATGAACATTCAACACTTGTTTACCATTGTACGATGTTAATATTTCAAAGGTATATACTTCAACAAAACAGCTCGATGCTGGAAGGAAAATTAGATGCAATTTTCGACTAATTTATATATGTGATTGGATATGTAACAAGCCAGCTACTGTTATTAATAAGTGGGTAATAAATCAGCAGGAGAGAGAAAAAAATGAGGACGAAAATGGCTCTTGGTGATATAAACGAGCAGTCGATGAATAGATTGAATATTGGACCAGTGCATGGTTCTGATCTTGTTCCTTTGAAAAGGATTTATCAGTCGAGTATGACAAGTTATAATAAAAAACGGGAACGTAGGGAGCGACATATTAAACAAATGTTGAAACAGCGAGTACGTCAGGATACAGGTTTGAGTGGGATGACCTCAGCACTTTTCGAGCTTGCCGTAAACAGCACGGATATTATTGACTTTACTTTAGTGGAACTTTGGAGACAGGTAAAATACTAGTTCCTTAGTATAGTTTAAGCAATATAGTTAATCATGTTGGTATATAGTGGAGAAATAGGCAATATATTTTTAGTATGTAGATGGTGCCAAGATAAACATTTCAGAGTCTATAGAAACTTTAAGTGGTTGTATGATTTCAACAAATGCTTTGTTTACTGAAAATTTTCCTTATTTTCCCAAACAAGTAAAATGAAAAATTTCTTTTGTACATAAATATCTGAATGTATATTGTAAAAAATACAGCATGATGTACACTTTTGATATGTTAGGAAGAACATGTACGTATATTGGCATCTAGGGGTTTCATTTCTCTGTCCGTATAGGTTGGAGGTTACTCTATGTTCCATTACTCCAGTGATTGGAACCCCGATTTAGTAAACTCTTATGATCATGATGGGTTAAACAGTGGATGCAATACTCATGATGTCTCGACCCATAAAGGCAACCTCTGTGCCACAAGGGGCTCTTTATCATAAACATGAACAGCAGTATATAAATGTAATATAAAAACATTATTTCAGTGTAAGATATTAAAAGCTTCAAAATATCTTATTTATTTTTTGGTGTTTTACATAATTATGCTTTTGAAACCATTAGTTCTGACCTAATTGGTTAATTAATCATCTGCCCCTTTGGTATTAACTTAATTAGCTCTCCAGAACCGAGGCTGCTGGGCAGATTTACTTTATTTGGTATGTTATGCGTCCTTGTGAAAGTCACACTTGAATTTGCTCATGTTAAATTGTCTATTTCTACAGAACTTATTTATGGGTGATCACCAAACTTTGTCTGTAGCATTCTTGTGTAGTCTTTTATCAATTGCTTATATTAATTTGATTGGCCCCTTTTAGGGGTCTCTAGAGCTAAAAATAAAAACAAACCTTTAGACATCTTCTTCTACAGAACTAATTGATGGATGATCACCAAACTTTGTCTGTAGCATTCTTGTGTAGTCTTTTATCGAGTTTGCTCATATTAATTTGATTAGCCCCTTTTCGGAGCTGCTAAAGCCAAAAAATGAAAAACCTTTGAACATCATTAATTTTCCTACTGAAATAATTGATAGGTGATCACCAAATTTTGTAGCATTATTACATGTAGGTAGTCTTTTATCAAGTTTGCTCATATTGATTTCATTAGCCCCATTTAAGCTTAAGCTTAAATGTCCCCAGGTCATGGCATTTCTTCAAATTATTGTTTAAACATATTCTATGCTCAAATTTAATATTAGAAAATATTGACAATGGATAATTTCCAACACTGAAAAGCAGTTGTTTCTGGTGAGCGACTCAGGGCCATCATGGCCCTCTTGTTTAAATGTTGTTATCCAATTTTTATATCAAACTGCTCTTTAAGTAATGTCAGTTGTGAGTAAAATGTTTAAGTGCCTTTATAATATTTACACACTTGAAAAAGTGGTTCACTTATAAAATGCAAACAAAGAATTATATCAGTTTTGCTTAACATGAAGTGTTTACGATTTTGATTTTTAGTGTACAAGTTTTCTTCCTTTTCACATTTTTTGTAATTTTACAGTATATCAAAGCAACTTTAAATAAATGCATAAATGAATTTTACCACTAAGTCTTTTTCATTAATAAATGACATGCATGTTAGTTTTTGTAGTTGAAAATTTTTCAGTAAAGGTTTAAGTTTATTAGTATGCATTTAAAAACTTAAATTGGTCACGGGTGCAGCGCAGCCGCGCAACCAATTTAATTTTGTGAAAATGTACTAATAAATTTTAACCAGCTTAGTGTTTTTAATCATTTTTATAAACAGTCAGTTTACTAGAGTGATTAACAGTTTGCCGTTTTACCAAACTAAATGTGTTACGATTCATTTGAAATAATGCAATCCTATTGGACGAAAAATAATTTCAAACACTAATTAAGTTTAAAGACAATTATTTTCTCATTTTGTTTGCTTAAATAATAAATGTAAATGGACTTCTTTGAATATAATAGATCCGCCCAATCTTTATAACGGATGTGAAGGCTTACCTAGCTTTACGCTATTGATAAGGGTTACTGTTTTCTCAAACAAGGATTTGAGAAAAAAAAGAAATTATAAGATAAACATGTTACATATATCTTTTAAGAGTGTTGCTCAAACGCTTAATTCTTTAAAGAATGTGCATTGCTCTTACTAAGATTATTGAAGCAGCTATAAATAAATGTATATTTTTTGCTCACACATGCTGCCTATTTTATTTTTTTATATCAATTGTAAAGAGAATTTAAGAACTGAAAGTATCAATGAAATGTATATTTTGTATGATACAAGCCTGATAGATTGCAGTCTATTATGACTTGTTACATGGCAGTGATGTCAGTCAGTTATTCATCAAGATTAAGCACATTAAACAGGCTGTTGTTTTTCATCAACAGTTGGTTTTATTCATGATTTGAGATGATAGATAAATCAGACATAATTATGAAAAGAGGGAGTAAAGCTGCAAAAAGGAAGTGAGTGGAAAAAACAAGTGGCGTTCTTGTTTTAACCACTCACCTGTGAGAATCACTTTCATTCATAATTCTTGTGACAAGTGCTTTGTTGCTGATTGTTTCATAATTGTATAATTATGATACAAGAGATATGAGATGCTATAGTTTCTTACAGTGTTGTCAGTCATGATTATGTAAAACATATTTCTTTGTTTCTATGAGATTGCACTAAAATAGTTAACAATGGAAACTGTTTATTATGCCCCCCTTTGAAGAAGAGGGGGTATATTGTTTTGCTAATGTCGGTCTGTCTGTCGGTCCGTCGGTCTGTCCGTCGGTAGACCACATGGTTTCCGCTGATTATCTTGAAAAGTATTTATCACAAAGTCTTCATATTTCACATAGTGATTGGTCATAACTAGTAGATGACCCCTAATAATTTATGGGTCACTAGGTCAAAGGTCAAGGTCACAGGGACCTTAAATGTCAAAATGGTTTCCGCTGATTATTTTGAAAAGTATTTATCACAAAGTCTTCATATTTCACATAGTGATTGGTCATAACTAGTAGATGACCCCTATTGATTTTGGGGTCACTAGGTTAAAGGTCAAGGTCACAGGGACCTTAAATGTCAAAATGGTTTCCGCTGATTATCTTGAAAAGTATTTATCACAAAGTCTTCATATTTCACACAGTGATTGGTCATCACTAGTAGATGACCCCTAACGATTTAAGGGTCACTAGGTCAAAGGTCAAGGTCACTTGGGCCTTAAATGTCAAAATGGTTTCCGCTGATTATCTTGAAAAGTATGTATCACAAAGTCTTCATATTTCATACAGTGATTGGTCATAACTAGTAGATGACCCCTATTGATTTTGGGGTCACTAGGTCAAAGGTCAAGGTCACATGGTTAAATGTCAAGATGGTTTCCGCTGATTATCTTGAAAAGTATGTATCTCAAAGTCTTCATATTTCACATAGTGATTGGTCATCACTAGTAGATGACCCCTATTGATTTTGGAGTCACTAGGTCAAAGGTCAACCTTCGAAGAAGAGGGGGTATATTGTTTTGCTAATGTCGGTCTGTCTGTCGGTCCATCGGTCTGTCCGTCGGTAGACCACATGGTTTCCGCTGATTATCTTGAAAAGTATGTATCACAAAGTCTTCATATTTCACATAGTGATTGGTCATAACTATTAGATGACCCCTACTGATTTCGGGGTCACTAGGTCAAAGGTCAAGGTCACAGGGGCCTAAAATGTCAAAATGGTTTCCGCTGATTATCTTGAAAACTATTAATCACAAAGTCTTCATATTTCACACAGTGATTGGTCATAACTAGTAAATGACCCCTATTGATTTTGGGGTCACTAGGTCAAAGGTCAAGGTCACAGGGGCCTTAAATGTCAGAATGGTTTCCGCTGATTATCTTGAAAACTATTCATCACAAAGTCTTCATATTTCACATAGTGATTGGTCATAACTAGTAGATGACCCCTATTGATTTTGGGGTCACTATGTCAAAGGTCAAGGTCACAGGGGCCTTAAATGTCAGAATGGTTTCCGCTGATTATCTTGAAAAGTATTCATCACAAAGTCTTCATATTTCACATATTGATTGGTCATAACTAGTAGATGACCCCTATTGATTTTGGGGTCACTAGGTCAAAGGTCAAGGTCACAGGGGCCTTAAATGTCAAAATGGTTTCCGCTGATTATCTTGAAAAGTATTTATCACAAAGTCTTCATATTTCACACAGTGATTGGCCATCACTAGTAGATGACCCCTATTGATTTAAGGGTCACTAGGTCAAAGGTCAAGGTCACAGGGGCCTTAAATGTCAAAATGGTTTCCGCTGATTATCTTGAAAAGTATGTATCACAAAGTCTTCATATTTCACACAGTGATTGGTCATAACTAGTAGATGACCCCTATTGATTTTGGGGTCACTATGTCAAAGGTCAAGGTCACAGGGGCCTTAAAATGTCAAAATGGTTTCCGCTGATTATCTTGAAAAGTATTCATCACAAAGTCTTCATATTTCACATAGTGATTGGTCATAACTAGTAGATGACCCCTATTGATTTTGGGGTCACTAGGTCAAAGGTCAAGGTCACAGGGGCCTTGAATGTCAAAATGGTTTCCGCTGATTATCTTGAAAAGTATTCATCACAAAGTCTTCATATTTCACCTAGTTATTGGTCATAAGTAGTAGATGACCTCTATTGATTTAGGGTTCATTAGGTCAAAGGTAAATGTCACATGGGCCTTAAATGTCAATATGGTTTCTGTTGATTTTTCCATAATTGAACACTTCCATGTACCCTTTTTTGGCAAGTTTCTGTAATAAAAGTACCAATTATGTGAGTCAATGGCTAGAAAGGGGGGTATATGTGTCGTTCAACATTCTTGTTAATGTGGTGGTGGTGGTGTTTATTTTCAAAGAGTATCACAGCCGTAATCCACATTGAATTTACCAGAGCACTGTGAGTTCAGCCAAAGCATCCTTCCTTGGCAGGCTGGCAAGTAGTTTCCCAG